TAAGGCTCTTTACAATGAGAGTATTTTCAAATTTAGCATTTACTATGTATTAACTTTAGTGGTTGGCATAGCTTGGAGGCATTTCATGCTTTTAAATTCAAGTTGATTTAACTCCTAATTCTGACATGCCTGTGGTAAAATGATAGCAAAGGTGAAACTGAATCCCTTTCATTTCAGAGCCACAAAGCACTCTGCCAACAGAAAAGCAGCATTATTTTCAATACCAACAAGCTACAGAGGTGGCAGTTATCAATACTGCCAAGAAAGGAAACCAGTGCTGAGAGATTAAGAGATGGTCTTAAGATTAAGAGATTAAGATCATGGTCACACACGTCAAACATGTCACCAGATTTCCCTTTCCTTGGGGTCCTTAGAACTGAGATCATCACATCAGGACCCACAGTGCCTGGCCCACTTTGTTATCATTCATTCATTCTCTTCAAAATCATTTGTTGAGCACCTGCTGAGTACTGAGTACTATGCCAGGCAATGAGCACACAAGAGTGAACCAGCCAAATCTACAGACACTGCCTTCCAGAACTTGTAGTCAGTGTTGGTGCGAAGAGCCTGTGCAGCCCCAGTTTCTGTTCTCCCAAATGCAATCTCACCTTGCTACTGTGTCAACTGCCTGAGAAGAGAATCAGGTGCACAGAGAACAAGAGAGGGACTGAACAAGTATACTTTAAATTCCTAGTGAGATAAAAAAAAAAAAAAACAACATCATCCCCAAAAGAGCTTAAGATACCAAGTACAGTGCGTGTGGCAGGAGATCCATAGCCAGCTGTGGGGATACGCTGGATAGGCTGTGGGGCCCTACAGGACAGTGTGAGGGAAAGACCAAGAGCCCAAGAAGCACTGGCTAAGAACGGCTCAGGAACGGACTTGAACAAACGGAAGGAAGGGAAAAGGGAAAAGAGAGGATCCGATTCCTCCCCAGCCAGGAGCACAGGTTGGAGCCCTCCTTTCAGAAAATGCACACTTTGCTGTTTCCTTACAGGAAGCATTTGCTGACCATTATGTGGGAACAAAGTTACATGTTACCGAGTGGACTACAGCCCTGCTCAGGCCTCTGGATTCCTCCACTCCACAGTGAAGGTGCTCCTGGTCCAGCCTCCTGAACTGCTCAGCCAGTCCAGAATACACTCCACTCAGCAGGCCTCGTGGAGAAACCAGAGTTTTTCCAACAGTGTTTGAAAAGGGAAACCCAATAATGTTGGAAGGAAAGACAGGGGGATTTTTCTTTACAGAGCTATGCAATCAGTCACTACTCAATGTTACCAATTGGTCTGCATGGCATCTTTCGAAAGGAAGATACTCATACTCATACTTTAATCTGGCATACACAGATTTACGGCCTAAAACAGTACTTTTCAAACTGAATCACAACCTACTAGTGGGATGTGAAATCACGTAGGTTCAACCAATATTTTTAAGGAACTAGAATAAAATTAAACAGCACAGAATAGGAAATATTAGAGTACACTGCTGGTAATAAAAATAAACATTGTTTTATGAAGCTTTTATTTCCATTTTATATACACATATGACTCACTATCTAAATTTGTTTCCTGAGCAAGAACACACATAACAAGGGATCCTATATAATTATGCTTAAATTAGGTTGCTATATAAGTTTTTTTTTAAATTGTGAATCAAGTTGGGTGGTGGGCAGGTACTGAAAGTCATCAGCCTAAAGAAACTATAGTGAAATGTAATGGAAATTAAAAAAGAAAAGATTCCAAAAACTCAATTTCTACACTGAAAAAGAGAGCAAACCTAAGTATTTCTCAAAATACTTTAATTCTGTGATTTTCACACTTTTATTCTTTTGTCCTAATTATCTTTCATTTGCTTCCCTGAACTTGTGTGTGTGTGGGAATACATCTGATTTTGTTACAAACATTCTTTCAATCTCATACAACAGATAGAAACAAAAGGTGAGAAATAACTGAAGAGAGAACATGGGTTTGGATGCACAGGGCCAAATCATCACCACAGAGCAGCCCAGGCCAAATCCTGTCCCTCTGTTTGCCAAACCACCCAGAAGAATCTAGACCAGAGGGAGGGTCCCTTCTCCCTTGGAAAAACCTTTAAAACACCAATTTCTCAAATCACTGGGCAAAGGACCAACCACTCTTTAAGATATGGCGTCCTGAACAGGATCACGGTCAATTTATTTTTTTGAGTAGAATTGAATTTGTTGTAAACTTGATTTTTGTAAACTTTTAAACAAATTTTATAAACATAGCAGTATTTTCAAATGTGGTTTTTGGGAAAATAAATTAGTTTGCCTGAAACTCTTAGATAATTCCTTTCAACACCCTTCGGCCCCTGCTTCAGTCCCTGCTTCAGCTCCTGCCTCACCCTCATCCTGAAAAAAGAAAGCTATCACATCTACCCTGGTCTGAATGGATTGGTGGATTGGTGCTGTCAGTACCATCCAGGGGATTCAAGTGGTTACAGCCTTGGGAATTTTGTTCCCTGAAATCCCCAAATACATCCTCAAGCTATGTTGCCCTAATGGTCATTTGTCCAATTTTCTTGAATTCAGGAGTCACTAGTTTACGACACGTAATTGTAATGGATTACTCTATAACTTAATCTATACTTGATCTGGAGAGAACTGTCTACATCCTGGAACTAACCACAATGGCACCACACAACACTAGGGGCATTGTTCTCTTACTCTTAATAACAACTGTGTTACTAATGAATTAAATATTTTGGCTTTAGAGTCACCACTGGCAGGCAGACTTGGCCCAAGACTGGGAGTAAAGAGAGTAAAGACTTGAAACCAATCGACTGAGCCTCAACTTTATCACTTGTGAGGAAGAAAACTTGTCACTCAGTCAATATCTACAATTATAATTTTGTTGCATTCTCTGGCTTTATAGATTCTTACTAATGGTATTTGTAACAGAGCTGCTTTATGTTTTAGGTTTATTTTGTTGAAAAAAAACCAACTTTGACCATGAAGTGATAATATTTCTCAAAGTCTCAACCAAATGGAATAAGTATGCACCTCACCAATTCTGCCATCTACAAAGAACTTACCTAATATACATGAATACTGAAAAAGAGGACAGAAGTAACAATTTTAAATCTCTTCTCAAAGTATTTTAATTCTGTGATTTTCATGGTAATCAAATGATTAGCTAGCAGAGTGAGAGTCTTAGCAATATATAATTGATTTATATTCACGCTCCAAAATTTAGTACAAAATATAACAAGCTGTTTTAAAAAGTATAATAAACTCCAAATTCCTTAGGTTTTCCCTATGAAGTCTACCATCTTGTATATATACACAATTTGTAGTTTATCTATTTTTCTATCCATTTTCCCATTCCTTACATTAAAGGAAATTTCTTGAGCTTCCTGAGGGCAAAGCTTAATCACAAAGATAACGTGTGCTGATGGTAAGTCATAGCCAATTAGGAGCATCTAAGGTAAACGTTACTCAGAAAGCAGTTAGATTTGGTGTTGAGACAGTCCCTGGAGTACCATCAGGCACTTCCTCTACTAGGTGGCAGTTTCTAAAACTCATCAATTTTAAGTAGATTATCACTTTAATCAGAAGTTTACACTGTTCCACTGCAGCTCATCATACAATTATGTAGGCTTCAAACCTTACAAAAGGAGATATTTCATTTTCAACCTACTAGGGAATGCATACTACAGCAGATCTTCAGATGAACATTGAAAAACTTGATCAGAACAGGATGTTTATGTATGCATTATTCAATGCTCAAATATTCTGAAACATTTTAAAACAGTGGCAACTCCTAAATTTTCATTCAGAAGTTTTGCTTTTCTTCCACACCTTCTGCACTCAGTGAGCCATTAATAGTAGTGGCAATTCGGAGGGGAAAAGTGGCCCTTACAGTCCCACTAGGTACCAACATCCAGAATCCCACACTGTAGTCTCCAATGCCATGAAAAATAAAATGGCTGTTAGCTAAACTGTTTCCAGCAAAAAAAGAATGGAAAATAAAATTGCAAAGAAATAGTTAAGTACAGAAGCTTCAACCTGTTAAACGCTGAAATTACATCTTTAGATTCCCTATAATAAAGGGCCTGGTTCTAAAATGAGTGTTGAAAAGAAGTCCCTTACCTATGGATAGCAGAAAGGAAAAAAGGAAAAAGGAAGGAAGGGAAAAATATTTTTCAATGGATAAAAATATGAGAACATATGGCATCATTCACATGGCAAAACCACTACCTGTTTGGATCTTCACAGAAGGGATGAGGAACATTTCTATAACCCCAGGGAGGTGGTTTTCTGCATACATAATTTAAACAAATCACTCCAGCACATGAAAGAAGAGCCGCAGAACTCTTCTCACTAATTACCACCCCAAGGGCTGCTTTTTCTTTAAAGCCACACTAGTTCATTATTCTGCCTTCAACTCTCTTAAATGATTCATTTCCCCTTCACTCCTGAGCAGACTCTGCAGGGAAGCTAGTGTTTAAGTTTAATTTCTAGTGCCACTTGCTTTGAAGAGCTTGATGAGGGGAAAGAGAAAGAATCTAATTTAATAATTCTGTCATGATTTGGAGAGGCTCCCTCCGCCCCCCAATCCAAAAAATAACTAGACAAACAGGACCCTCTGGCAAGATATAATCGTGAGCAAAGACACCAGTTGGGAAAGCAGGGCCCACGTGCGGTGGGAGCTATCACGCAAGGGAAGTGGCAGGCGGTGAGGAGGAGGGAGAGTGGGAGAGAGTCGGGCTGCTGCTAGCAGCTGCACCGGCCTGGGCGCTCCCGGGGAGACCCGACTCGCACTTGCATGGTGCTGAGCTCTCTCCCAGAGCGGGTAGAAACCAGAGGGCAGTGAGGCCGGCTCCCGCATCCTCAGGAGCTGTCGCTGCGAGAGGGAGAGCGCCCGCTGCGCGCCGCGGGCTTCCCCAGAAGCCCGAGCCCGCGCACAGGGCGCCCGGCTCCACCAGGTCCAGGGCGCCCCCCAACGCCCCAGCTCGCCACCCCGCCCCCTCCGCCTTACCGTCCCAGCTCCGACTCCACCTCGAAGAAATCGCTCAAAGCATCCCTGTTGGAGCCGTCGATCCAGTAATCCGGGATGAGGCTCCCGGCCGCCGGGGCCACACTGGCGGTGACCGAAGAGCAGGACGAGGCGGAGCACGAGGGCACCGTGACTTTGAGCATCTTCGCGGCGGGACTCCGGAAGCCGCCGCCGCGGTCGCCACCGTTGCCGGAGCGAGAAGCCCCGCCGCCAGTCACCGCCTGCGAACGCAGGAACGAGAGGTGGCGTCCTTCAAACACACGCACACACCCACGGCCGCCTCCCACGGCGCCGTCAGCCGCGCTCGGGCTGCGGTTCCCTTTCTGCACGCTCTGGCGGGAGGGTGGGCGGAGAAGGGGCCGAGGAACTGGGAGACGGTGTGGAGGGAGAACCCCAGTCGCCGCTGGCGAGAGAGAGGAGGCGGAGGCACTGCAAAGGAGAGTGGTTCCCTCCCCCTTCGGTCCTTCCCTCCCTACCTCCCTCCACCGTGCCTTTCCAACCCCCCTCCCTTTTTTTTCCTTTCTCCCTCTCTGGCAGTGGCTGCGGTGGAGCCAGCTAGGGCGCCTCCGGATGCTGGAGACTGGGGAAGGCACAAGGGCCAAAGCATCATCCCATGCTACCTCCCGCTGGAATCGGGTGCCTGGAAGAGACCGAGCGCACAGGGACAATCGCTCCGAGTGTTGAGCTCCCAGCGCGCTCTGGGAGCACATGGGTCCGGGTGGCCAGCAGGATGGTGAGAAAGGGACCTGGCTGTTGCTGGCGCAACTCATCTCTCCTTGAGCGCGTCTAGGTGGCGAGCCCCTCCCACCCAGCAACAGCTAACCTGCCATCCCTTGTTCCTCCCTCTGTCAAAGGTTATATTGACAGCCGGGAAGGGTGTCCTCTGGTCGCCGATCCTCCAGGGCTCCAATGCCCAGAGCCAGTGTAAGCTGGAGGAAAGGGAAGTGCCTGGGTCCACGGTGACCTGACTCACCTTTGAATGAAGTCTTCAGTTGTAATAGGTGCTGCCGTGCTGCTGCTGGCACTGCATCCTGTGGCACTTTTGGAGTTCCTGGAAGGGCAGGTATTTGCTATGTCTAGTTGACTCCCAGCTTCTGAAGGCTAGCAACAGAAGTGACCCAGAGAATTACAGGTTTGGAAGGGCCCTATGGAATCCAACTAGTCCAGCCCTCTGCCTTAAAGCAGGACTTGTCATCATTCATGACAGAGAAGACTGCTACATTTAAAGCTCTTTCCTCTTCCCAAGAGATGTGTCCCATCACAAGCATTCTAATGTCTGCCCATAAACCTTTAGGCTATCCTTCTAAGTATTGGTTAAATCTATATCATTTATATTTCTACCCTTGAACCTTTTTTAGATTTCAGCAGAAATGAACAACAATTAGTCATTATATTCTGTAATAAATCTTTGTATATATAAAGACATTACATAATATCTCATTTCTGGCTAAATAACTTCAAGCCCTTTATTTAATCTTACTTCACAGGTATTACTTTTAGTCTTTTTTCTTTTCTGACTTTCCTGCAACATGCATTAAACTCTTCTCAGTGTGTCCCCATTCCTGATTACACCAGTAAACACGGTCCAATAGTTTCCACTATTACTGATTAATTTCTTACACTTAAGAGCTTTTGTGCTATATTGGTGAACTACCAAAAACAAAGCAAAACCAAAAAAAGCAAAAACAAACCCCCCAAATCTAACCAATTAATGATAGGAATTGACCCTTAGTTGATAGGAAATGAAAAATAAACTATACAGAAACTATTCTTCACAGGTAATTTTATGAAGATTAGCATATGATCAGTTTACAAATGGCCTAAAAAATAGCAAGTACATGTAGATTCACACAAATTCAATTAATACTGAATTATATGGTGAAAGACAAAATGCTCACATGACCTGTTACTTTTCAGAGAATGAATTCACTAATCTTCACGTTAGAAAACCAAGTATACAAGCAAAGCAAGCTGATGAAGCTCTTGAAAGTAAATTCTAGTTCTTACTAAATCAGTTTCCCTTGGCACTGACTGGTGGTGGGATGGGCATGAAGTAGTGGCTAGGTCACTTTTATTTACACCTTTTTGAGGTAAGTCCTGAAGTGGCAGCACTGCATGTAGATACTTGCCTGTTGTGAGCAATTCTTTTATTCACAATTCTTTTCAACTCATGAGTTGAAAGCAAGCATATTACACTGAAAGAGACGGTAAACCTTTTTTTCTCCTGCTATTTTAGGGAACAATAGCTAGAGAAACACCATTTCATGATACAGAGGTGATAGTAGAATTGATATTTACATTCAACATTGGTTTAGTTATTTGACACCTATGCTTTTCACAACTGGCTTTTCTAAAAGTGTTATTAGCTGCAGATTAAAAAGAGGGTATTTGGTTTCATGAATGTAGTTTATTTAAAAACTGAAGATGAAAAAATTTATTTTAAAACAGATGGAACAGGAATAGAATCTATGCAATTTATTGTCACTCATTATGCAATATCACCTAAAACGACAGAAAAGAAACAAATGCATATATCCACAAAAAGAAAGGAAGAAATAATATCAACTAAAACTTAAAATCTTGGAACAAATGAACAATGGTCACTCACTCAGAAGACTGGGTAGACCTGAAACCCAGATTTGCAATGGGAGAAGCCAATATGAAGAAATATAATTCTTACCACAGAATTCCAGAAATGCTCAGGAATTAGAGTACCAGATCTTTCTAAAAGTGGAGTGAGAATAAGACGTTGGTTCAGTGCTTTTTTATAAGAAGCTCTTAGGCCTCTACATTTCTTCTTCTATCATTCACAGCCAAAAAACACACTTCCTAAGCTCTTCGAAAAGAGAGCACATTTAATCTTTGGAAATTTTGAACAAAAAATGAAGTATGTCTTAGATCACAAGGTATAGCTACAAATGTATTAAACACAAAGGGATTCATGAAACTCTACATAATAAACAGTGAGACTTCCAGGTCCAACAGGCTCCCAGGATGCTGAAAAATAGGCTTGTATCTATCACAATCTCAGCCATGCAGAAATTGGAGGATTCCTCAATGAGAAAACTAAACAACCCAAGGCGAGGGGGATCTGTGGATACTGACAATTAGGATACCGCCCCTGCCAACAAAGGAACTTGGTTTTTGTTAACACCATACAGTGAAGCCCATCATTGAACAGGATCAGGAACCCAAAGCTACTAATGAGCTATTTTATGTCTCACTCAAATATAAATGGACAAGTTTCCATTCTGGTATGGCAAAGTAGCTGGTATGACTAACCTTCTTGAATATGACAATTATAATCTCTGAACTAAGTATAAAAACAGTTATTTAAATGTGCAGAAAGAACCACCAAAATCAGAAAACTGGAAATGATGCAACCCATGAAAGAAAGGAACTCTTCTGAATAAGATGCACATTTATTCAGCTTTTCCTCTGAGGGCTCTGCAGGCAGCACAACTCTTAGTTGCTTGAGGTGTCAGAAAACAGAATTCAAGCCTGGCAGAGAGGCTGAAAATTGAGGAGGAAATTCCAGAAAGAAGGGACCACAGTGGAAGAATCCAAAAATCTACATGTAAAATCTGCTCAAATAATAGGCTAACCTCTGAGCTACATATATGTGTGGGAAATTCTGAGGAACCCAGCAAAAAGGACAAAGCAATAACTGGAAGGTTGAAAACGCTAAGAAGAAATTTTAGCTGTTCTTCACCACAGGGGAGACATGGTTTGAAATATGAGTCCCATCAAATTTAACTGTGGGTTAGAAGAAAAAAAATCTATTCAGGAAAAAGATAATGGAATCCAGAATCTCTCCAAGGAGTCACTGACAATCCAGTCTACACACACGCATGCACAAACACACACACACAAAGACTAGATACATGAAATGGTAGGAAAATGTGAACCACAGTCAAAAGAAAAATCAGTCAACAGAAACCAACCCCAAGATGACTCACAGGTTGATATTCATGGACAAATTATTTTAAACTGCTATTATAAATATGTTCAAATAATTAAAGGAAAAGATAGTCATAATTAGTGTACAGATGGGTATTCCTATCAGAGATATGAAAATGATTCAAAATAAACCATTAGAAATTTAAAAACTGAACAAGCAAACTACCTGGAATTTGGGGGAGAAAATCACTCAAAGGGTTTACAGAAGTGTGCAGATTGCAGGAGAAAGGGTGGGTGAACTTGAAAATAGAATATGGTATCCAACCTCCAAGATCATCCCCACTGATTTTCACTTCTTAGTATTCATGCTCTTCTGAGTTTACCTACTACATTAAATTACGGTTGACTTATGTGACAAATAGAATATGGTGGAAATGAAGGTGTGTGATTTCCAACGTCATAAAAGCATTGCAGATTCTGCCCTGATCTCTTAGATTGCTTATTCTGATGGAAGCCGTGACATGAGGCTACTCAAGCAGCTCCAAGGAGATGCTGATGGGGAGAAGAACCAGCTTGCATGAGGGTAAGCCACAACTGAAGTAGATTCCCCAACCTCAATCAAGCCTTCAAATGACTGCATCTCCAGCCAACATTTGAGTATAACTTCATGAGAGATCTCAGCTGAAAACACCCAACAATTCAGAATTTCAGATGATTCAGAATTCTACATTCATAGAAACTGTGAGAGCTAAATGATTATTGCTGCTATAAGTCACTGAATTTTGGAGTAATTTGTTATGAATCAATGGAGAACTAATAAAAACAGAAATTATCCAATCTAGAGAACAAAAAGAAATTTTTTTTTTTTTTTTTTTTGCGGTACGCAGGCCTCTCACTGTGAGCACAGGCTCCGGACATGCAGGCTCAGCAGCCATGGCTCACGGGCCCAGCCGCTCCGTGGCATGTGGGATCCTCCCGGACCAGGGCACAAACCTGTGTCCCTTGCATCGGCAGGCGGACTCTCAACCACTGCACCACCAGGGAAGCCCAGAAAAAATATTTTTTAAAAAATGAGCAATTCTCAGTGAATTTTTGGACAATATCAATTTATCTTACATGTAACTGAATTTCCAGGAGGAAAGGTGAAAGATTCCGGCAGAAAATTTATTTGAAAAAATAATAGTTGAGGGCTTCCCTGGTGGCGCAGTGGTTGAGAATCTGCCTGCTAATGCAGGGGACACAGGTTCGAGCCCTGGTCTGGGAGGATCCCACATGCCGCGGAGCAACTAGGTCCGTGAGCCACAACTACTGAGCCTACGCATCTGGAGCCTGTGCTCTGCAACAAGAGAGGCCGCAATAGTGAGAGGCCCGTGCACCACGATGAAGAGTGGCCCCCGCTTGCCACAACTAGAGAGAGCCCTTGCACAGCAAAAATAAATAATTAATAAACTCCTACCC